GTCGATACGACAAAGTGGGGGGGCCAACTTCACGCAACTTACAATAAATGCTTAGTTAATCTTGAAGATACAGTTCTATCTCTGGGAGGTCAATTTTTACAACATTATGGTAAACCATCACAACCAGCCATCAAGATGTGAAGCAGTTTTACAAAATAAAGATTACCTTCGAGAGATCAATTATGATTCAAATATTTTAATAAAACATTTATAAACAAAAAAAAAAAAAATATATTTTGGCACAGTATATAAAATCTAATGAACATTTACTAAATAATAAACAGTCCTATAAATATTTTATTGGCCAGAGTACGAAAAGATCATGGAATAGCTTTGACTGTAGCTTCTTCGGGCATCGCTGCTACATTGCTAGAAGAAGGTAAAACAGCTCATTCTGTATTTAAATTACCATTAAACCTAGCGAGAGTAGAGACACCTATGTGCAATATTTCAAAAAAGAGTAATATAGCAAAAGTTCTAAAAGACTGTTAGTTAATAGTTTGGGATGAATGCACAATGGCTCACAAGGGTGGCTTCGAAGCTCTCAATAGAAAATTAAAAGACATAAGGGGATATAATAGTTTGAAGAGTGGAGTCACTATGCTGCTAGCAGGAGATTGTTGGTAAACATTATCCCTAATACCTCGGGGTACAAGGGCTGATCAAGTAAAGTGATGTCTAAAAGCTTCATATTTGTGGCCACACAYCCATAAAGTTGCACTTTATAAAAATATGAGGGTCCATTTGAAAGGTGACACATCTGCTGAGATTTGCACTGAGATGTTACTTAAAATAGGAGACGGAAATTTCCCTTCATTGGAAGGTGAGATCACTATTCCCTTAAATTTTGAGTACAGTTGTTAGCTCTTTATCAGAACTATCATCCAGAATTTTTTTTTTTTTTGATTATATAACACCATAATGTATAATGTATGTAATAATGTAACTACGACGTTTTATAACWTAATTAGTTTTAAAAGAGTTTACAGTATTTACTTTACAATACATGGGCAAACTAGGATCAAAATATCTAAAAGCCGCCTGTAATAAATATAAAAACTGATAAAATAAAATTAATAGTAGATGACTCAAAAAACTGTACACGGGCGAAGCCGAGTTATTCAGCTAGTATGTTATACGTTACAAAAGAGTAACGTCATGTACAATCATTCTAGAAGCTAATCCTCTCCTCCCTTTTCTAAGTTAGCTTAATTTCAGTTTTCCGGTGTTTTATTCGTCCAAATTATTGTAATGAAACATAACACTGACCGTTTCTTTTTTTTTAGGAGGTCATGAAAGGCGTACAGATGATGTACGACATTACCAAGTTCCGGAGGCCAAGCAACATGTTCGGCGGGGTTCCGGTTCCGGAGAGTCAATCCGGATTTCCTCCCACGTCCCCTAGTACGCCAGCCCTAAGCGTATACACAATCGACGACGAGTTCAACCTACCCGTTTCGGTGGCGTTCATCATGCTGGTAGTATACATCGTAATTGGAGCAATCATGTTCTGCATCGAAGAAGGATGGGGATTTTTCGAATCCTTTTACTTCGTCTTCATATCCATGTCGACGATCGGATTTGGAGATTTCGTGCCCAAGGTTTGTCGAAGACCTAATAGGTTAAGAATGTTAAGATCGTTTATTGTATCTGGCAACCTTCATAATATAGTTTTAATAGAAAAAACTATTTTTCAATTTTGATTGTAATTTGTTTATGGTAAAAATTGTAAAATTCCAATCATTTATTTTAGGTGGAACTATAGGATCGATGTGAATTTTATTTATTGGTGTACATATTGTTCATAATATTATTTTATAAGRAAGGAAATCAAATGTCAAATGATAACTGTAAATTTCTGTTGGTTAATTAATATGGATATTTAGAAATTAATATTCATAAGAAACGGACTAGCCTATAAATTATTAAAATTTTTCTTTTTTCTTTCATKCGAACCTATTTWAATAATTCYTTATAAAACAGAATGTTACAGGACATAGATAATCCATAATATAAAATTCATGGAAAATAGACTTAAAACAAATATAAAAAATAACTAATATGAAAAAAAAATTGGGTTTAATTAAAAGCAGTCTTACCTCAAATTCTCCATTACCGTCCATTATTTTTATAATAACGTAACATTTTTATATTTATTTTATAATCATTAGAATTGAACATTTGTTTCACAGAGCCAACTCGTGATGATTGTATCCATCGTATACTTGGTTTTCGGACTCGCACTAACATCTATGTGCATAAATGTCGTACAGGTAAGAGTTGACAAATTTAATGTTTTTCATAGATGAATTTTACTTAAAAATCATTGATGTTAAAATATTATACCTTAGGCTCTGCTGCTTTCATAAAAGACATGGAGAATTTACTACCCGTACAGAAATATCGTTCTCTGCTTGTCCATCCGGTCTCCGTTGCTAAATTATATATATTAATATRAGATAATAATGGTAATTACAATTTTGGGAAACAAAAGCCGAACAAACGTATTTTTGAATCATATCTATCCGTGGCTCCGAGCTATATAATTTTAATATACGTTATTCTTCATTTTATTCTCGGCCCACACTTGGCACACTTTATGTAAGTGTATTAAACTAATTACTATATAATATTTATATATATATTATCATGTACCCGGGAACCGTTCCCGGGSCGAATTTCGCATTTGGTACATTTTTTTTTTCTATAGAATTAATATTTAATGCATGTGATTAAGACGAATACGCTCGATATATTGTTACAACGAAATCTGTGATGGATTCGACCTATTATTCTTTCAACGAAATATAGGGTTTTTCCCACGAGATGGTTTTTATCAACGGACATGGAGTGCTCTTTATTATTACGCCCAGCTTATGAATATATGCAAGTTTCCGGGTGTCCYGACCTCCCCTGGATTATTAATTGTACAGTATAATATGTATATTGCATATATTTGCGGTACCTACTACAGCGCAAGAGGATTTCGGTTCCTGTAAATGTGTACGTTGCATTATTAATTAAACAGTAGGTATATACGCGTGGCATAACGATATTTCCTACCCGCGGAATGCGAAATCCAAAGGATAAACCTTTTGGCCGCTGTTATTATTTATTTTGGACGCACCACACAGCACACGTACTGTGATCCGACATTTTTAATGTAAGACACTAGTTTTTACCGTCGATGTTTGTGTTTTCGGATTAAAAAATGATCATAATAATATTCGAGGTCGGTAGCGGCAGGTGACGGGGATGACTCGTGACACAACGTTTTCCGAAAAATATTTAATTTAAACATTTTTAAACGTTAGAGACTATGTGGTAACTGTATAAGCCGTTTTAGGATTTTAACATAATATTTATATAAATTATATATAAAAATGAGATATAGTGATATCGRTTGTYGTTCGCCATAATCTGCAGAAGCAAATCTCGATGATCAAACTGTGCTAATTATTGAACCAATAGGTTAAGACGATAAGCATTATTAAGCACACTTTAGCCGAACGGAGCAATATGGAGTTAAAATGTATAATTTTGCTATGATCTCGTCAAAAAAAAAATCTTTTGTGTATACGATTTAATGTTTAAATTATATTTCAGGAAAAGTTACAGAATTCGTTCAGACAAGCGACGACCAAAATAAGTGCAACAATTGGTCTCGGGTTACCACGGGTAGATAATAACGAGCCGGCACCTATCGTGGTGGACGACATGAGGACCATCGATGCKGAAGACGTGTCAACAATCGATGCGGACCCAGTTACCGATAACGACGACGACTGATTTTTATTTTTCATTTCAACGATGTACGATGACCAAGTACAAATTACATTATTATACGAGATGAGGGATTCGAGAATATTATGTTGTGRTATCCCTTGCTTGTATACAATACATAATAATGACGACACACTCTTCCAAGTCCAGTAAAAGTGAAAAAAATAATAATTGTATATATATAATCAATATAAAATCGGTCAATTTTTTTCATTTATTTTTTCTGTGTTATTCTTTCGTAATATTGAACGACCTTTCCTATTTTTGTCAGTACACTGATACACTAAGATTTACTGTACAAAAATAAATTTATGTGCATCGCGAATTTATAACATCACACAATATTACAAACAAACGTATGGTAACAAATTTTCGGTTTTAACCGATATTCAAAAACGTATTCGAAACCAGTTTCAAGCCCGATTCAGGACGTACTTCGGAAACACTTTTTTTTCTGTACAATATAGTCATGATCCTCACTATAGGTAACAAAAAAAAAAATTTAACGCGAGTTAAGTTAAAATCAATTAAATAACATTACAAAAACGTTTATTTGTGTAAATCAACTTAAGATGATGATAAGTGTTTATTTCCATCATCATCTTTTGAGCAGTAAAAAAAGGTACTTCGATTTTCTACTTCACCGTATTTCCTGATAGAAATGTGAACCTAGTTGGTACTTTGGAGCAGTCAAAAGTGAAAAATTCACAGCAGTTTTCAAAAATCGGGAAAAAAAATAAAAATAATAAAACTAAGATTTTTACGCAAAACTAGTTTTCTAAAAATCGATTTAATTATTTAGCATAACTCTAAAAAAAATAACTTAACTACCGTACATGCAATTTTAACGAAAAATTTTTATACACAATAAAATTGTCAAGATATTTTAACTCTTTTGAGCTATTTATAGATATAAGAATAACATTTCAATTTTTACCTATCAGTTGAAATTAGTTAAAATTACTGTCCATAAAAAATGTTTCACTTTGTCAAAAAACATGAAAATTTAATACATACAATAGGTTCCTCATAAGTTTTTGTTACCTAGTGAWGATTAAATCTAAATTATGGAAATGTGTAAATTATTTTGAGTTAGAAAATATATTACGAGTATATTCGTTATACGTTATTAAAATAAAATTTTCTTCAAAGTGTTCAGATACTTTTTGGGCTATGTAGAAATTTTCAATTTCTTAAGTTTTTTTCTATAAAAATCGGTAAAATTTATTGTTGGGTCAAAAGCTTGAACATTTAATACAAGGTTCCTAATACGTTATGTTAATAGGTTTGTTCCAGCACAGTTTTGGAAACAAGTTATATTTGTTAACAACATACGCGCATGCGTCTAAAGTAATGAATTCGGAACCAGTGACCACTGACCTGCTGGAACAGTTTTCGGCTGTGAAAAGTTTTGGTTGTGGTTATTACCATTTAATGAGTTATGTAATTGTATCAAACTAGGTCAACACTTGCTATCATAATTATTTCTTAATACAACATTTTTCGAGCTATATTAACTCCTTAATTTACAAATAATCACTAATCAACTGTATAAATAAAAAACAAAAACAAGAATAAACTTTTCACATTGTATGCATGCACAAAACTTTTGACTGAACGTTAAACACTCGGCAAAAAATGTTTGTTTCTAACAACTTAACAACCTGTTGTTGCGCTGATGGAACAAAAAACATTTTTTTAAATGTTTYTAATTTGCTCTACTGGAACACAACTTATACTTTGCGCATGCTCGTGCGTTGAACTTTGCTTACAAAACTCTGCTAGAATATACCTAATAGCARCTTAAAAATACATAGACACCCATTTTTTTATTAGCATTTAAAGTTCAAATTTTGGCAAAATATTGCAAATTATTTAACACGTCCATTGCACCACTTCTTTTAGACATTTATTGTACAAAAGATCAGTGTACTCCCATGATAACTTTTGTACCTAAATATTATATAAAATATTAATGAGGGGATACTACTCTTCGGTTCACCTAAAAAATAATGAATATATATCCAGATCCTAATCCCATTAAAAATTTCTGTCTACGTCATTAATATGGGTACAGTAACTATCGACTATTAATAAAAATATATACTTTAATATCAACAATCTTAACTAACGGCTGGACGAACACAACGGGGATATAAGGTGTTGTATTTTTAATTAATTAATTGTGATCGATCACCTGTAAAAAAAAGTTTAAACGCYGTTTAACAAAAACTTCTATCGTTTATCACAATTCGGACAACGCCTGATATATGTATATCATTATAATACTATTGTAGAGAAATAAAAAATATTACTATCAGTATAAAAAATTTAAGTTCATAAAACATAAATAATAATATGTATAAAAGTGTTGAAAATAAGTAATACGCTAATGTGCTAAGTAAATTGCTAATTGCTATATAAGTACACTAAAACAACTTAATAGCAACCTTACTGCTCTAAATCAATTAACGCCTTATTTGGATGACATAAAAAAAGGCTTAATGTTGTCTGGAGGCTAAAAGAATTTCTTAAAACTGGATGGTGCATTTTTTTGTACGACAAATTATTTGACAAAAAGCATAATAACTTTCTGACGTCCGGCTAAGTTTTATTTTTATAAAATTTAAATTTTTCATAATTTATGAGTTTTAAATATTATGGGCACCTTATTTTGCTAAGTTCACTTTATTTTCTTACTTAAAACAACATTGCCGGAGTTTCATTGAAATTTATTAGTTTTGTCAACTCATAATTACGTTGTTTTCACTTATATTATAGGTATTATTATTATATTTAAATAGCACACACTTTATCACTAATATTATTMTACGCATAAAAACATAGCTCTACTTGAAAATAACTCGATAATTCAACATTTGTAATGATAATATAATTTTATTATTATCATGTATCTAATTGTTTTWATGTTAGGTAAAATTTAATTCTACTGTCGGATAAAACTAGGTAAATTTAATAAATTACTACCCTGTCGAAATTCTAACCTAGTTATTTATATTAMCTATGATAATATAATTAATTGGAATTCCCTAAAACGTATTATGAGAAAATGGTTGTTTATTTGTTTCTATATACTACACCATAAAATTCTCAACAATTTCATATTCTGAGCGAATTGTTATGGTTTTATAATGATGCATGTTTTGTTTTTTTCTTTTAGTCATTACATCTTGGAACAGTAAACAAAACTTTGGTTTTCAATTTTGAGATTGGTCTCTAATAGAAAATTAAAATTGGTACTTTAAAGTTGTCAACGATTATAAAACTAATTTACTAATGACACAATTTCAAAATAACCGAGAAAAAACAAAATAAATTAAGGAAACCCGACAATTTTCACCAATAACAAATAAAAAAAAATTCAAACAATATTTTATTTTTAGGTTAAAYCAAAAATAAATAACTTCAGAGACTTAACATTTTCACTAACTATTCATAATAATATTAGCATTTACAATTTATAACTTTGTGTAGCTTTTTTTTAAATTTATATATGATACAGTTTTTATTTTTGAGTTATTACATGAAAACGTAACACAATAAGGTTCCTTAAAAGTTATTYATACGTATAACAATTAAATAATATCAAAAATACATATTACTCGGACACAAATTTTTATGTACCTACTTCAATAATGTTAGAGTTTTGACAAAAGTCGTAAAATTCACAAAAATATTCAAGTTATTTTGCACAGTAAAAAATGTACAACATTTTCAAAATTCRTATCTACGAGAAGTACTGGCAATTTAAGTTGAGGTTTCATACTAGATTTTCTCCGATAAAGCACGATTAAGCATAATACGATTGAACTTATAACTTTTTAGCAACRAAGTTGAGCATAGAATAATTTATGCGACGTTATTACATTCATATAGCCAAMAAWTTTTWATTTWTTATTTTCACGTATTATTACTATACTAAATTTAAAAGAGTCACGAGCAGTGAATAGAGCCCAGCTTTATTAACAATATTACTGATGCATRAGTTATAGATGTTGGTTTATATTTAATAATTATTGTCACTAGAAACAATACAATTCGCTATTAAATTAATACAAATAATAATAGTAATAATAATAACTAATGTTTAAAACAAGTATCATTACTCAAAACAAAAATAAATATTCTTAGATAGCCTTATACACTCCACAAAATATCAAGAAAACTATAGATCAGGGGTGGCGAACACACGGCACGTGTTCTAAAAGTGGCACGTTTGTCAAATTTCAATGGCACGCAAAAAATTTAAATTAAGAAAAATTATACTATTCTTTAAATTTTGTTGTAAAGAATTCAAATGAATAAATTATAAAAAAATTAAAAGTTATAATATTCATATATGTAAAATTGATTATGTTACTATATTATCACTATACTTAATATTTTCTATTTAGTGCTTACAAAGTTACAAACTTTAGGCACGTGAAAAATTATTAAACCTTTGATTGCAAAAATTTGGCACTAGACCCAAAAAAGGTTCACCACTCTTGCTATAGATTATAGAGTAAAAACAATAGATTAAGAAAAGGCTATACAAATCTGACTCATTCTGCACACTTTCATCAACAAAAACTAAAGAATCACAAAAATGTATTCGAGGCTGATACATTTACARTGTAAATGTGTGTACATGTTGACAGTATAAGCATACGAATAAATTAAATAAATRTACTAGAACTGTTTACTTAGTACTTACTAAGTACTATTACGACCGTCTTAGATTAAGARTCCAATGAAAAACATTTTATCAATAAATTAAATAAAAATTGGAAGAAACAACTTTTTTAAATATGTATCGCTATCCATACCATATACATTATACATAGACCATTTAGATTTAGTACTTTAGAGCTATCAACCAAATCCTAAACATGAATAAATAAATAACCAAATAAAACTAAAAAAAGTTGTCACAAAATATATTCATTTTACTGTACCTACATTAACCTTTACATTACCTTTTTTTTCTCTTTCTTTTCCGTTAGTATCGAGAACCGGAGGAGGAACCATGATGTCAGTACTTCTCCTCCGGCCCCCATCGTTTATTGATAAAAATAACCAATTACACATTTAAGTAGCTGCGACGGGCCAGTCTCCCGTTCGATAGCTATTGCAATAGGTTGTGTACATTAATTACCTAATACCTATACAACTTACTTTTATATGTGGTATTAAATTCCTAAATACCTAATATTCTAATAGTTATAAATGTATTAATTATCTGGGTGTTTTCCGTATAAATAATATTAGCCATGAATTGCGATCAAATAAACTTAAGATATTTAATTGGTAGTTCTTCGTTCTTTATGACGTCGTATAGCTTTTATTTAATATCATAGAAACCCAGTAGGTAGGTACACTCCAATTTTTTTTATAAATTTAAATTATTTTTAAATCGTCTACCTCTTATTTATTTATTTATTCGTATGCTTGTTTACCTCATAAGTAAAAACATAAAAATATGTATCGTTAATGATTATTAATCGGTAACATATGTATATATGCTTGGCATTTACATACGAATGTTTTCATATTGAGTTTGGTATGTTATTAATGAATAATGATACATTAATAGAAAGATTTACTACATATTCGTTTGGCTTTGTGTGTTGACCTCAAACCCGTTTATCTGAGGGTCAATGGGTGAGGAAGGAGCCTCTCGTCACTGAAATTAATAAATTCCATCAATATAAATTTATTTTTTCTTGCACATAATAAAAAAAAAATTCGCTTCGTATCTTCTCGTGACTTGCTCTATATAGATACTATAAAATGTACAAAATAATAATCTGCACCGTTATACTGATTTCAATACAGCAAGCGTTTATAGATTTTTGACTTAACAGTTGAAAYACAAAATAATATAGATAGGTTTACGGATGTACACCTGTGACCTGTAGAATGATCATTTTTATTCATTTTCAATAATGTTGAGTCTTTTTTTTTTAATATTAAAAGCCCAAACTCAAATTTACATTTTACTTCGTGTTTAGTTTGTTCAGTACCTACTTATCTAGGTATATATTTAAAAGCACGGTGCTTTGTCTTGTGAAACCCTTTTACTACAATATACAATAACCTAACCCTTTTACTTATCCTTCCCTAAGCCGTTTGCAGCGTTACACGTGCATTTTTCTTGAAATATTCACTGACCATAAAATGTTTACAGTTGCAAGTGCACATAATTATAATATATTATTAAATATTTAAAAGCAAAAAGCTAGTAAGTTATCACCATACACTTAGATAATTAAAAATCCAARTACCCGAAAGATATGCATCATATAATAAACTGAACACTATAACTTCACGCTATACTATTATGACCTTTTCTGATGGAATTAAAAATTTAATACGAGATTTTTGCTTGAAACTTTTTTTTGACATTAAAATGTATTTTCAGCAAAACAATTTTTCACGAACTATGAAGGTTCTCCATACGTTGACCACGGTGAAACGATTTTGTTTCACTTTTAATAAACGATATTTTCATATAATGTGTCCATAATATAAAATATTATAATATTTGAGTTTATAAGCGTTCATTGTTCCTTTTTTGGTAACGCTGATTTTRCGTACCGATACTAAAACACTACAACTACAAAATTAACACATACAAAAAATGTTATTTATCCGCATAACATAAACTTTTAAATTTTTATCAACGAAAAAATATGTATAATTACATTATTCTCCCATAGTATTTCGACTCTAGTGGTATCTTAAACAATACTCTATAATATTATACGTATTATACCTACCTGGTATTACTATGATAATTCGTCCGAAAACGTTAGGTATTAAAATTACATTTAATTGCGTTTGACATCATTTATAAATCAACTACTTATGCGTGCAAAATTTTCCACCTGCTCTCATGGAYGACTTGAGACGGCCCAAATTTCCGCATGACGCTTCCCCACAGAAGCAGGTGCGAACGGATGACGAGAAATGAATCAATCGATATTATTTGTCCTATTAGAAATGATTAACTTCGGGCTTCACTTCTAATGACGGTGATTAGTTGTTCGGCAGATGCGATCCGCGGTCGGTCATCGCGATAATATAATAACATGTTGAAGATCAAATTGTCCTTCGCATTACTGACAGTGGTGTTGGTCATTGGCAAAAGTTCACAATTGTCCATGYTCGACCAATGTGGTCCTCGTCACACGAACCTAACCCAAGAATGTGTGGGAAAATTGATATTGGACACTCTGGCTAAAGTCACTGAAGACCCGGAGAATTTCTTTGGATCAAACGTGAGTATATAATATAACATTGTAAATACCTCGATAAATAACAAGAGAGATTTATGCGCAAAACACTATAATATAGTTTAAAATATTGGAGTAAAATTTTGTGATTTTYAAATGACAAAAAAGAAATCATAAATCTTGAAGTAAATTCTTCTATAATAATTTCTTTTTTGTTGATCTAGCTTTTTAATATTATCACATCTTTTTTTTTTAAATAAATCAAATTCTTTTTTATTCTATTAGGTGTCATATTAAAGTGTTCTATTCATTCTTATGACATCTAATACATTTAATTGTGTATCCTTCAGCAGAATAGTTTAACATAAATATCCATTTATCAATAATTTTTGATTTATAAGTGTTTTAACCTCTAAGTTATGAAAGGAGAAATTAAGTAGGTGAAAATTTAGCAAAATATARGTACCTCCACACCTATTACAACTCACGCTCAACATCCGAAATTTTCATATAAATATTCTGCTTCAGAATAATCAATTAAAAATATAAAAGTTGTATTTTACAAAAATGTAATGTTATCTATATTTATTTATTTATTGACGAGTTAAATCCAACTATATACAAGAAATTTTTAATTGCGTACATATATAAATATGATTGTAACATGAAAATATTTAGTACCTACCTATATTAGCTATACTTTACTTGGTAGGTACTTATTAATTATTATCAACTTCATAATAAATATTGAACAATTCATTGGACCTATCGATCAATTGTACATAGTTATTGCCTTATTGGTATCATTTATCATAAACAATGGATATATCATTATGTTGATAGGAGCAGCTAAAGCGTAATCTAATTTGTGTGCGTTGGTAGATACAAAATGTACTGCCCATATCATGWATTTATTTACTATTGCCAATTAAGTACTTAAAGTTGCACACATAAATCATATTTTTTAAAACAAAAATCAACCGAGTTAACGAGTGTTGTGCATTATAATTTTTTTAAGTATTTAATACGTAGAATAATATAATTTAATTTATTATATATGTATATATTATGTTATGCTACCTACCCATGTGCATCGTCTGATGAGCAAAGCTACGTTTTTATATATTTTTAAATATACTATTTTCAAATAAACAATAAACATAATGAAATAATAATGTTTTCYATAGCAATTTAATAACGACAGTGGAACGATAATGCGATTTATCAAACTGAAATTCGATAACGATACAATGAATATCGATGAACGTTATGAAATCGACGAGAGCAGATCCTGGAATGCAGGAAATTTTTGGGATCAATTGGTTTACGCATTTAAAAAACTGACCAATTACAGTACCGACCACGGAATTCTGTTGTCCCTGCCGCAATGGTCGAAAAAATTCCCACCTGTCACAGTCGTTGAGGAGGACGACGTTTTCCAAATAGTCAAC